CTGTACGGAGGGAAGTGTTAAGCGTATGCAGAGACCAGTAGCATTTGCAGTAGTGCCTGTATGGATAAAAAATGGTGAGATTATTCAGACTTGCGCCTTTTTAGATAGCGGATCAGATACCTCTCTCATTGTTGATGATCTGGCTGATGAGTTAGGCCTCGAGGGAAAACCGAAAATGGTATCTTTAAAGACTCTTAGTAATGAATCGTCATTGATATCCAAAGAGGTCGATGTAGAGTTGCACTCGATAGATTTTTCATCATCTGTTAAGGTGCTGAAAGTGTTGACTGTTAAAAAACTACCGGCGGTTTACAGGACTGTGCTAACGGTGCATCAAATGGTATCTTGGTCTCATTTAAAAGACACAAGTTTTCCGAGAGTAGAAGACGAGAATGTCAAACTGTTGATTGGATGTAACGCACCGGGTGTACACGAGATAAAAGAGAAGAGAATGGGAAAATCTAATGAACCATACGCTATAAAAACTGCTTTAGGGTGGACGTTGTTTGGACCTTACAGTGAGACCACGAGCAATGTGAGTATCATAAATCATTTATCGTCCAAAGGTGGACCAGAAACCTGTAAAGTGAAAGTACATTTGTCTGGTGCGATCTCATCGCCAAGTTGCGCAACGTTTGCTCTACAAAGGACTATCCTAGGTAAAGAGGCTAGATTTCCTGAATGCATTATACAGACAGCGAAGGAAAAGTTCTACGTTGATGATTTATTAACCAGTGTTGATACGTTGGAAGATTCTAAGTTAGTATATTCTCGGCTGAAGGAAATATTACGTTTAGGGAGTTTTAATCTAACCACGTGGGCCAGCAACAATGTTGAATTAATAAAGTTTATTTCAGATGGAGACCATATAGACAGGAACGTAGATATTTGTTTATCTGTGGAAGAAAATGAAAGGATTCTAGGAAAAGAGTGGAATGTTCGAACGGATAATATCTTCAGGATGTGCAAGTTGGATGTGACTCCTGCAAGGAAAACCATTTTGTCGTATGTAGCATCTATATTCGACCCAGACGGGTTTATAGCTCCAATTGTTTTACCAGCTAAATTAATTTCGCAAGATGCTTGTCGGCTAAATCTTTCATGCGACGAACTTCCTAGAGAGTGCTCTGTAAGATGGAACTGTATGCTCAGAGGTATGAAGCGCTTAAGTAAACTGTTGCTTCCAAGATGTCTCGTACTAGGATTATACAAACCACCACCTACTCAGATTTATCGCTTTGTCGACGCCACAGAATTCGCATATGGTGTTGTGGCGTATGCTCGTTTTAAAGATGTCTCGCGTCAAGTTCATCGTTCCTTTTTATTAGCCAAGTTCAGGGTTGCTAAGCCAAAAATAAAAGCACTATGTGATCATAATCCCAAAACAACTCTAAGAAAGCCTAAGAAAAGGAAGGTCACCAAGCCGAAAGTGAAGACACCGAAAAAGCCAAAGGTCACTTTAACAAAGAAGTCAGTAAATAAGACCGTGAAGAAGCAGACAGCACATATTCGCTGTGGAATTGTACGTGGTGTTGGGAAAGACGCCTTTGTGCGAGTTGTGAGTAAGAGTAAGGATGGTTCTGATAAATTTAAAAATGCCAATGCTAATCGTAGACAGATTATGTGTAGTTGGAACCAGAATAAGATAGCAAATGTTCTTTTAGAAAGAGGTTGTGAATGGCGTTTTAAACTTCCTAGAGCTAGTCATCGAGGCAGTGTATGGGGACGCATTATAAAGTCGATAAGAAGGATTCTACAATCACTACTGTTTCAAAGGGTATTGACGGACGAGTCTTTGGAGATGTTTTTAATAGAGATTGAAGGGATAATAAACAATCGACCATTCGTAAAGCTAGTTAACGACTGTGATGACCTGGATGTACTTACGCCAAATAAGTTATTGTTAGTTTACAGAGGTGTATCATTCGACGAAGCGCAGATGAGTAAAACGTGCTTATATAACGGGAGATGGAAGGAAGCTCAACAACTAGCCAACCTATTCTGGAACAGACGGTTACAGGAGTACCTACCAACCCTTCAGACGAGATCTAAGTGGTTGGACATGAGGAGGAATTTACAACCAGGAGATTTAATGTTAGTAAATAATATTGGCTCACCGAGGAATCTGTGGCCGAAAGCTATAGTTAGACGGGTCAACTATGGTCCAAATGGACGAGTCAGAACAGTTCGACTGAAGAGATCAGCCAGGATATACGGAACCTGTCTCTTTGGAGAAGCCGATTATATAGAAGCGACAGTAATGAAGCCTGGACGTGCTGTCCGCTCGGGGGGGGGAATGTTAGTTATGTCCATAACTAACCAATCAAATCGTTGCTTAAGCTCCCACCACGTCAATCTGATTTCATATGTCTGTAAACTATCCCTGTTGCATGTGACTTACCAATTGAAAGACATTATTATCCTATTATATTAGTGTGACTCATAAATTTTATTCATTTTATTAAGACACGCAATACTGGTCGGTATGTTTGTGCATTTCACTTATGACTGTAATTCTTTAATTATTGTACTAATCTAATTGTTTTTATGTTCAGAAACAGATAAAGTTTAAAGCCAAGTTGTCCTTGTTCTGACTATAGCTTTCACATAGACTCTGGGATCGCCAGTATCGCGTTTACAGTTTAATAGTATATCTGTAGGACAAAATAAATCCTACAACGGTTTCATAAGAGATGGGTATTTAGGTATGAACAGTCCGTAGAAACTTACAGGGCCGTTGAAAGTTCGCAACTGCTTGTTCGTGGTCGGTTCTGTGTAATCCAGAATGGCCGCCACTTTGCTTCTAAGGGGTCGGATGCCTTGGGCATCAATAGTGTGTCCTAAGAAGTCTATGGAGTTGGCTCGGATTTGGCATTTCTGAATGTTGGCGGCAATGCCATGCCTTTGAAGTCGATCAAAGACAATGTCCAGATGCTGGAGATGTGATTCCCTGTCCGGACTTGCTATGAGACAGTAGTCAACATACGCATGTACGATGTTGAGACCTCGGAAGACGTCGTCTATGAACCTTTGGAAGGTTTGGGCGGCATTTCTTAGTCCGAAAGGCATTCGTAAGAATTAGTAGAGGCCGAAAGGAGTGATGATGGTGGATTTAGGAATGTCATCGGTCGCTGTAGGTATTTGGTAGTAAGCCATAACTAAGTCGATTTTCGAAAAGACAGTTGTACCTTTCAAGGTAGCTGTCAAATCGGGAATGTGGGGCAACGGGTAACGATCGGGGTTGGTTTCAGCATTCAGACGCCGGTAATCGCCAGTTGGACGCCAATCATTGCTGTCCTTTTCAGGGACCATATGCAAGGGAGATGACCAAGGACTATTTGACGGTCGAATTATTCCTAAGTCTATCATATGGTCGAATTCGTTTTTAGCCAACCTAAGCTTTTCGGGAGCCGGTCGTCATGCTTTCGAGATGTGATGTGTAACATTGCCGGTTGATATATCCCTGAGTATTTTTCGAATAATGATTGATATAGGGGGTCTATGGCGTTCTTAATTGTGACTGGGGATAATCTGCAACCAGAAAAAGCATTTACGCGAACGGATAACTTAGTGTTTCCGTCTATTAACCTTCGTGAGCGTGTGTCGATTAGTAGATTGTGGTATTGTAACAGGTCTATACCAATGATTGGCACAGAAACATCTGCAACAACGAAAATCCAGTGTATGGGTTTGCGTAAACCCACGTTAAGGTAAACGTACCTTTTACCATACGTAGCAATCGGCTTTCCTTTTGCCGACTGTAAACCTAAAACAGACTCGTGAAGTCTGTCGCTAGAGTTCGCGGGAAGAACGCTAACTTAAGCGCCGGTGTCGACGAGGTAGCGAACTTTCGTTTTCACATCCGTGACGTATAACAGACGGCTATGTTTGCCGGCTACGGTTGCCGTTAACGCGTGCCGGCTGGGAAGTTTCCCAAATTCTTTTTCGTGTAAGTGGATTCGGAGTTCGGATAATTGCGGGGTTTCCTGCAATTTCTGGAACACTTACCATTCTGGTTATGATACCAGCACCAGTCGCGATTATCTGTCTCTCGTGGTCGAGAGATCTTCTGACTCCTTCATATATGTCTTCTGATTTGACTGGATTGGTATACTTTGAATGTCAAACTCTAAATATTTGTGTAATCTTCAGTACCTATCTGATACTTTAAAACCACTTCATTCAATTTTATGAGTAGTGCGATATTGGCCTGTTTAATTACAGACCAATTTACACTTATCAATTACAAATACAGTTGTACAGCTTCAACTAATAATATAACTGAGAAGAATGCTCTTAGTTAAATTGTCTTTAGTTCTTCTTCGATAACTTAATGGGTTTCCATTTTCTAATCCAAGACTATCAAAGTAAAAATGCCTGAAATATTCACAGTTTGACAGCTCCTTTACTCCTAACACCTTCATAATCGAAGGATACCAACCTAATCAAAGAAGTCAGCGGGCAGGAGTTCAAAGATATATTTGGAGAGTTACTGATATCGAAAAACGTTTGGTCTGAGCTGACTAGTGGTCTCAGGAAATGAGAAGCATGACATACCCACTCGTAATCTGGCGTGGACGCGTGATCGAGAGCTTTCAGCTAGGGTGCGTCCAGTTTAACTAGTGAAATCAGCATCAATGTCAAAGGCCTATTGAACAATTTATCCTATGCATTTATTCACAACTACAAAATTAGTGACACTTTCTTTCAGAAACGTATATGTGATTGTGTCAATGTTGGTAGTGTGACTCCCGTTTTCTTGACAACATGTAGGCTGAGCATCTTCCACTAACATTCATTAAAACTGACTAAACTATGAGGATCTAGAATACCGTTACAAATCAGCATAAATCTGTTGAAAAAATTAATCGAGGTATTGGATGAAACCACTAAATAATTATTCTCCTAAAATCCTAAAATATTATTTTTATCTTCGTACTCAGATGGTGGGAATATAAAGTGGCGGCTGTTTTGTCAATTGTGCTTCACACTAATTGATCATGATTGGCGTAAGCAATATTACTAATAGGACGGATCCAAACAGTCTTAAGTCGCGTGTTTTCGTTGGAAATCTTAACACAGTGCATATGACAAAAACAGAACTTGAGTCAATTTTCTCGAAATATGGGGCAGTCGTGGGAATATCAGTACATAAAGGATATGCATTCATTCAATACGCAAATGAGACTAATGCACGAGCCGCAGTTATTGGTGAAGATTCAAAAACCTATTACAATATGGTTTTAGGTAAGATATTTTTAAATGAGATGTTTTCATTTCAACTGGTTTTCACCGCTATCTCGAATTTTCACCACTGATATGTTTTATTAGTAATAATTCCATCTCATTGCATAATTTTTCTATCATAGATGTAACCATAGCATCCGAACCGAAAAACCGCAAGCGAGGGAGATCGAATATTGGTTCGTCGCTTCCGTCCTGGTAACTTGCTTTACCTATATAATAATTGAGTAATTCCCCTTTCTAGGAACCCCTTGACAAGGTATGACAGTTTTGTTGTTTCGTGAGTCTCTAGTTTCCTTCGAAACTTTGTTTTCAGTTTTGCTTTGAACTCGCTGTTATAGTAATTCATAATCAACTCTAGTCGGTTAGTTCTATTGGCTTCAGAATATCGAGTATATTTAAATCTAATATCATTAAATCGTCTATGCAACTGGCCGTTGACAAGTAGCTCTAAATATTATGGTACCCACTTGTCGGCTTGTTAGCTAGAATCGCTTGTCAACAAAGTTCGAAACAAACAATATCGGACAAATCTAGCTGACGCTGTTACCGACGTAGAGTAATAAATACAAAGTTTCATTCAAAACCACATCCAAAACTAGTCATTTCTGTCCATTAGGTCAAAAACAAACAACTTTACACACATCGACACAATTCTAAAATCAACCACCGAGCTTGTTGAAACATTTATCCATACTAAACCATAACCCCTCTGACACTCGCGTAGTATGGAGGCAGGCTGTATAAAATAGGATGTAAACAGATGTGTAACTTGAGTCCTCTATGTCATCAGCTCTCGGTGATCTTCAGGTAATAGTGTAAGAACTTTCTGATTGAGGTCTGTTTCGTACTTCAAATAGCATTGATCTTAGTCTTTTAGTGATTATTTACTATTAAAAACTAGCTCGCCTGGTCTTGTAAGTCTGTTTCTAAGCATTATCATACTTTTGACTTCAATAGTTCTCACAAGGAGTTGGAAAGCAAACTGTTTGTCTATTTCGTAATTATTTCCAGGATGTGTTCATATTCTTCTGAGAATAATAGTAATAAAGACTTGATTTTATGAATAAATAAACTTTTCTACGCTTCATTGAGGTGGTCATTTATTAACTATTGTTCACTAAAAGCATTTATGCCATGGTAAAAGTGTCAGGACTTCCTAAGATTGACCGCAGAGTCCCCCACAATATATTCAAACTTTGTTTCGATTACATTTTCAGCACTAACCTTTCAGAACTTGCTTTACAAGCTCAAGCCCTTAGCAGTATAACTGGAAATTCGGTTCTGTCACTGCAGCAGTTTGGTTTGGAAGGTATTATGGGCCAGCCCAACCTCGTTAATTTTGCTGCTGCGGCAAATTCAGTGTTCCATACCCCCTCATTGTCTGCTTTAAACGTTTCTAGTGCCCAAACAACAGTTACAGCGGGTAATATACGCAATAAATATACCAGATTATCGAACGCTACAACGACTACGTCCTCAACAACTAACTCTCTTGCTGCCAAACGTACTCGTTTGGATGGAGTGTTGGGTAATACTGGTAATCATAATTTTAACTCGAACTCTTTGCCTGCTGGAGCTAGAGGACAGAATTTAGTCTCACTTGTTTCTGCAACGGATAGCCTTATACCTCCAGCAAATCGTCGCCAGTCATCAAACTCTGGTCCTGTTCGTTCTGTGCCCGATCAATCAACAGGCAACTCTTTAGTGCGTAATCGAATTATGGTGTCTACTTCCTCTCGCCCAACAAACCCATCCACAACTAGTTCAAATCAAAATTCGCAACCGGCGGAAAAAAATTCCGATGTAAAGCTAAATCGCTCACAAAATCTAGGCCATTCCTTCGAATCTGACCATCCTCCTGTTCAGCAGCCCAATCGTACAACCTCGTCGACAAAAAGTAATAGTCCTCATTCAAGTAAGTTCAATCAGTTGGGTATTTCCAATCATCCCAAGTTATTACATATAACTGTAATCATTATCAGATGAACATGAGGTCAAGCTATAAGCAGTTGATAATCTTACTGCTTGATCAGCTATTTAAAAATTAAACGATTTTCAACGATAATTTTGGTATTAATGTTACCTTGTCTTTGTAGACCGTTTATTGTTGAAAAAAGTTCGAGAACTAAGAACATTGGTTTACTTTTTGGTGGGAACGTATTCCTGTATGTAGGAGAAATAAATGAAAGCTAAATCTCCTCTCCTTTTGTCAGTCATTTTATTACTTACGCCTATTAACCCTCATGGAGGAGCATAGGTCGCTCACTAGCACTCTCTTTGCACCACATAAATTCATTTTCATGTTGTCATTCAGATAATCTTTGGAAGTGCAAAGTGAATTTAGTGATTTAACAGAAGAGTATTAGAGATCTCTAATCACATCCTCTACTATAGTAACAGGAGGTAAAAATGATTTGGTAATCATTGCTTGCTGTTGTTGATAGAAACACAAAAGTTGAGTTTATGATATGACATATATTCCAAGTCTTGTTTTCCTTTGCAGCGTATATAGCCAACCAAGCCCTTACAACCGCTATTTTGAACCACTACAAGGTTAAGTGAGCCAACAGTGATTCATGCAATTACTTATAATCAGTACAGATTACAGATTACATATACGTTAACTTAATAACAATATACGATCGTTGCACCGTTCCATTTTGTAGTCTTATAATAATAATAAGAAGAAGAATCGATTCTCCGAGAAAGACTCATTCTCCAACTGAATGTACTTTACTCTAGTTATGAAATAACCATGAATTACTCTAGACTGAAATAATAAATTATTAAATAAGATTATTGGATATTTTGTCACTTGATACATTTAAGCAGATTAAAATTTCTGATTATGAGGACAATTATCTTTGTGAATCTTTTTTAATACAATGTTTTCCAAATCTCTCTGTTCGTATTATTTGAAGATACAATATAAACGTGTATTTTTTGTGAATTATCTATACATGGATTCAAAACTTTTAAGACTACTAGTTGTATAGGCTCACTAACAAACTTCTATTCTGTCGTTTGCGTATTCTTATTCTAGGTGTCCATTCACATTCAGAGGATATTCTGATATGCGGACGTTGTCGTCGTTTATTTGAACAAGTTGATGAACTTATTTCACATAAAATGGCTGGTTGCAGTTTGGACAAAGATAGCGGAGCTGGTTGTCGTTGTCGAGCCGGTAAGTGTAAAATAGGACTAGGTTCAATCTATCATCCGTGCACTTAGATGTTCCATATAGTTTTCACTAGCCATTATTTACAATGAAATCGATAATAGTTACCTGTCTTCTGGTTCATCTTTTATACATTTTAGTTTGTTTGACCATAATGACAATAAATCACCGATTTCTTAAACTACTTGAAGTGTATTTTATAAGTATTCTGTTATTCTATTTACTGCTGCCATTTCCAGTTTTGAATATTTCATCACCTTTCTGTTTTCTTATTCACTCTTTTTATTGGCCTATACAAGTCAAAGCTATATATAGTCAAACTAATGTGTATAGTTGATCTGTAAGCAACTGAATTTTTCTTCATACATTAAATCTAGAAAATATCAACTTCCAAGCGATTTCGAGGCCAGTTGTAACTGATCAGTCCATATCCACATTGAACCGTCATCATTCGGACACTTAATCTAACTATATGTTGTTATCAAGGTAAATTTGATAAGAGAAAAAGGTTTGTTATTGCTAAAGCTAATGAATAACACTCCAATCGATACGTGATCTTCAGTAATACGAATTAATCGAGTGATGGCTGCTCGTGAAACCAAATTATTGACGTAAGCTCCCAATTGAACTAACATCAGATGATAAAACAGCTGTTCAGTAGAATAGATTTTGCTTCAAATAAGCCAACGTGCTTATTTACAAAATGACGAACAGAAGAATAAACATCAAAAGTTAGCGAATGAATGGTTGGAAGGAATAGCAGCTATAAGTCATTAAATCTCGAGTAGAATTATTGCTTGTCAGGCCTAATTCTTGCCTTGTTAATTCAATGTAGTGACTAGTAACATTTATATCTACTCAGTTTAGTACTTTTGTTTGTATTTTTGAACCAGAAAACTCAATAACAAATGACTCTTCAGAATAATTTTTTCTTATATTTATTTACTTTTTAATTACAATTATAACATTGTCAGTGGATGTTTATGGAGAACTTTTACTCAATACCAGTAAATATCAATATTTTTTGTTAAGATAATCATTCGGTTAACCTGCACTCAAGCCATAACCAATCATGAATCCTTGAGAAAATTTATTACTTTTTTGTTTTAATCCAGGTTAAAAAGAATTTCTCCAATGAATGTGACCGTATTTCTCTTTTTTCTAGTAGGTGAGCCAGAGAATTTAGAATGTGCATATTGTGGTGCCAACTTTTCAACTGCTTGGGGACTGATGCATCACTGTCATAGTGATCATTTTTTGACTATATATGCGCTTCCATCACCTCCTCCATCTCCTTCTGCATCATCTAATTCTGCGTCTTCTGAACGTTCTTCAATAGTTTCTCGCCGATCTGCTAATAATGAGGGGGAGAATTTGTCTGAAAAATCAATGAGATCAAACTCTCATTCAGATAGATCAAATCATACAGGTAAGCATGCGACATCACTTGTGAGGCAAAACATAAAGCCTGAGCATCCTGCATTCGATAACCACCATTCTTCCAGTTCACATAGTGTTGAAGAGAACCGTGAAAATAGCGACTGGGATGCAGAGGAGGAGGATGAGAATAACGACCGTAGTGGAGGCAATACTCCAACATTGGAGTCAGTGCATAATGGAAAATTTGACCCATCGGACATCCCGAGAGATCACTCAGATACAAGATCTACATCTGGTACTTCAGATTCAGAAATATCAAATGAAATTCGTAGCAAGCGGTTACTGAAAACACGATCCCCACCCTGTCCTCGAAGAAGTCGTGGTAGTGAATATGGCCGTCATGAGACTGTAGATGACGATGACTATGCCGATGACGATTCAGAACCTGGTAATATAAAAACTGAATAATTACTCAGGTATGTCGTGCTATACTTTTCACTGATAGTTTAATCGTTGTATTTTCGTTCACACTGCTAATGAATACATTTCCAGCTCCTTAAAAATAACTGTAAATCAACCTAGGTGACTAATACTGGAAAAGAACCGATGCACAAAAATCTTTCTTCCTGACAGGCTTATTTCATAGTTTTTGTACACAAATAAGTAGCTAAACATAGTAAGTTTTAGAAATATCTATTTAAAAGCACGATTTTACTACATAGCCGGAATTCACTCATAGTTTGTGGGTTATATGACAATTTCTTATATTGTGATCCTAATCTAAACTGTCTCAGATCAGTGATTGAAAGTACCAGGTTCATGCGAGCTTAATTTCCTCAAATACCTATTCCCTTGAAATGCAATTTATTGTATAATAAAACCAGAAACAGAACACAATTAACCATGCTCATTTTTCTAAAAACTCGGTTAATAATACTACCGTGCGGCAATTTAATAGTCTAAGGTAAATATCAAAATAATTTTCGGTGTGATCACAACCAAACTGCTGTTGATAACAAGACTTAAAAAATCTAACCAACGACTTATCATCCTAAGTTCTCTACATACTTAAAAGAGTAAGTTCTCAACTGATACTCTACTCTCCTAGCATTTCCATGTTTAATATTAAAGGTAAGGCAAATGAGGATAGTTGTCTATGAATAAAATTTATGATCAGCTCTGCAATAATACTTTCCCAAAGTTGGTGATGCAATATGAACATTTCTATTTGTCTTGACCGCTAATTTCAACCATTGTTTAAAGTCAACATTGAATAATTAAGAAAGAAGCCTATTATAGTTTATCCGTAGTTTTATTGTCGAAATATACATCATGATGCACATTCTTATCAGTTATGGCAATGACTTTTCAAATATTAACGTTGACAGTAATGCGTCCAACCCTAAGATGGTAAAAACAGAGCAGGTTGCTTCCCATCCATACCAAAATTTTGTCAGCCACTGACCGAACACATCTACTGAGACTTAGAGTGTAAGTTAAGTGAACAACACACTTGACTACTACACAATATAGGCATTAAAACAACCTAACCTTGAAATAGTACTTTTCCACTCGTAGTAAAGAAGGTACACCCAAACGTTCTTTGATCATTTATGAAAGGTTATGCATTTTTTTATCCCTTTTACAGAACAGCACTACGTCATCGGCATACTATAAATCGTTAGGTCTCCACATAAGGAAAATATCATGTCTGTGATAAAGACAAAAATGATCGAAGTGAATAGCTCAGACGAAAATCACTCGACTTAGCTCATCTAAATAACAGTTTGCTATAAATTCTGACTCCACCGATATTATCCCAGTAATGAACCTTCAAGAGGCTGATATTTATTTATTCGAACACATAATCATTGGTACAACGGAGCACGAAATACATATGCTCCACGAAATAACAATGAGGTTGTAAAGAGACAGAAAATGTAAAATGCATATAATAAGAAGAACAATGGACATCAATTAGTGTATGAGAGTGGAATAATAATAACAATAATAGGAGAAACAGTTCAGTTAGCAAAAGTACAGCCAGAAAGAATCCTTTCAGTTAAACAAATTACGTTTGCTTTTATGACGAAAGTAAAAGAAAGTTACGGCAACATCGCCACTGGCCTCTGTTTTGAACCATGTCTGATAACCTCTCTAGCCAGTGTTGCACCATCTCTAGGACCCAACCAGGGAGTCATGAAGGACCAACAGAAGCCACTCCTGTACATCTTCCTTTCATACCGCGACGTCGTATCATACACTGACCACCTCTCCGCTTTTTCCAACCTTTTCTAGCGTCGGCGAATAATCCACTATGTGGAATTCTCTGGGATGATGTCCGTAAAATATACCCAAGCCACTGAATTCGATGCTCCAAGATAGTGACACCAATTGAATTGTCGTCGCTGTGTCCGAACATACGCTGTCGAACCTCTGCATTATTAATATGGTGTCGCCACTGAATGTCAGCAATCCTTCGGAGACAACGATGATCAAGCACAAAGAGTCGTCTAACATTCTCAATTCGGAGAGGTCAATTTCCACAAGCATAGAGCAAAACTGCTCTCACCGATGCGTTGTAGATCCGACCTTTTGCAGTCAGACTAACGTCACGAAGGCACCAAAGATATCCCAGATTAGCATGAGTTGCTCTGGATTTCACTGTACGTGAATTAATCTGATCACTCACCCCACCACCAGCACTTAGATACACGAGCATCTCGACTACTTCTATTTGCTCACTGCCCGAGGTGAGTGCGGATTCAGGGTCATGACAGTCTCGTAGAAGTACTTTGCACTTGTAAGGTGCAAGGCACATACCACGCCTACAGACACTAACTGCCAACTAATTGAGTGCGGATTGCATGGCTTGGGTATCATCACACAGTAGGACAGTGTCATCCGCATGTTCAAGGTCCTTCAGGCAACAGATCCACAACACCATTACTTACATCCATTGGAACTGTTTCCAGAACGTCATCGATGGCAAAGTTGAAGAGGAATGGTGAGATTGGACAACCCTCTCAAACTGCACCGCTTAAATGGAGCAATAGAGAGAGGTGATTGTATGCTCTCGCTCTGTCTGAGGTGTTGGTATATAGGGCTTTTAACATAATAGTAAACTTCTCAGGCACACTCTTCAATAGACAATCCCAGAGAACTGTCATGTCCAACGAATTCAAGGTGGTCCTAATGTCAAGAAACGCTGCGATTGTTGGCCTGTGATAAGTATGACGGTGTCCTAACATTTGGCGGAGGGTGAAGATATGATCAATACATCCTCAACCAGAACAAAAACCATCCTGCTCCTCGCGAGTCAATCTCTGGTTTTGTTATAATTTTTCTTATTACGACCCAGCTATTCCTATTGCTTAGTATTCTTGGACACCAATTCACTCGACAAGTCCCCAAACCAGAACACGGTTGAACATAGACGAAATTATATTCCGAATAACAAGGGTAGATAGAAGCAGGAATTACAATGAGAAAAACGTTGGTATATTTATAGTTTTTATACGAGATGATTCTAAAGTCTTCTCCAAGTATCCACTAGCGCTGATTGATAAGAAATAGCCACTCAGTGTGCCCCAACATAATCTTGCACAGAACATGCTTTAATCCAATCCATATTCCGCTAACAGGTTTTGAACAATCTACGAAGTATGACCAAAGCCAATATTTTGGACGCAATCAAGAGTAAACTTATCACCTGATAGTTGTTGTAGAAATGATGTGAACCCTTTTTAAAGATAGGAACAACTATCTACTCGTTCCATGATATTGGAACACTCTCTAATTTCCAAAACTTTGTAAACAACTCAGCCAGTTCCTTAACCAGAAAATCACCACTATCTTTAAAAAAGGGCCAGAGGTAGATCGTCTGGGCCTGGTGGTTTGTGTCGCCTCAGGAGTTGGAGTTCCTTGCGAACTTTCGTCTCATTTGGTGGATCAGTCTTCACAGGCCATGGAGGGCAGGACAATCCGGTCGATGTTGCCGTGGCAGCAGGTCAGTTGAACTGCCCTTCGAAGAATTCCGCCCATCGTTCAAGACGTCGATAGATGTTAGTGATTGGCATCCCGTCATCCTCACAGATTGTTTCACTCACACCAGACTTCTTCTGCCAGTGGCTCGGATGAGTTGGAAGAGCTTCCGGCAGTTATCAGATGCAGTTACTGCTTCCAACTCATTGGCACACTCCGACCACCAGGCTTTTCGGTTCTTACGCAAGTTTTGCCCGAATCCATCACGTAACAGTCATCTTTTGTGGTCAAACTCACGGTTACCCGTAGTAGACTGACGTGCTTCAGAGTCCAGATAGGCACTCCGAAAGGAGCGGCAGTCTTGTACACAACCAGACCAGAGGTAGCTGATCGCGATGTGATCAATCTGAGTCCAGGCTTAAGATGCAGAAGGAGGATGCAGCTGGTCCAGATGGATTGGCTCCATAGGTCTTTAAATATGGTGGTCCAATTTTAACGATTGGGTTGACTAATATTTTAGCTAAAATCCCATCTGATTGGTCACAATTACTCATTGTCCCAATATGTGAAAAAGCTTCAAAACTATCTTGTGATAACCATAGAGCGATTAGTTTAACTAATATAGCATCTAACATACTAGTCTCAATAATTATTGGGAGCCCAACAAAGACTCGTGAACTGCAAACACGAGAAAATCAGACTGGCTTCAGGCTTTTTATCACGAACACTGCCAATAAATCTCTCGGTATAATCCTGTCAGCACTTCAAAGACCAGGGTTGTAGTCAAATGTTATTAAGTTTCCCTATATTATTAAACTTCCTGAAAGGTAAACAGTCAATGCATCTATATTCACGTCAGAAATATGCCTGGTTTCCTTATATTCACTGTGCATAAACTTCCGATAATTATGGGAGCTAATATTTTAGATGCGATATTACTTACATTAGCCCCTGGGTGGTTATCATAGGATGATTTTTGTCGTTCCTTATAAAATGAAACAACTAGTCATGACATCCAGGTAAATGGAATTACGTTCGGTCTCGAAGCTCATTAAAGGTTCCTGGAGTACCATCTTTAAAGACCTTAAGTCGTTCTGCTTCACCTCAATCCAGCTATCGATTTCTCTATTTCACTAACAATCAGCAACTTATCGTCCTGTTCCCTTTCCACATAATGTTGGTGGGTAGAATGTGTGTAATATAAATTTATGAAATGCTATTCATTACTAATAACCCAGTTAAAGAAGAAATCGTTACTTTCGTCAAGGTAATTTAATTAACAAATATCAAACAACCTTATTACTATGTTTTATACAATTTTTCCACTAACTATATGCAGAATCCAAACATCATCGTAATTTTAACTTTGTATCCTTATCTATTTAACAGTATATTGAAATAACTACAAAATCATTATTTAGTTTTCTCTCTCTCTGAAATTCTTTGTAATTTTTTTCTACTTTCCGCATTTATTATCCTGTATTTCTTTCCCAAAAACATAAAAGCTGAGATGTGAGATTATTTTGCGTTTTATTTCTATCCATCTCGTTATTCATCAGTGGATTGTTAAGATTAATATTAATCGTATATGTATGCTTTGATCTTCATTCCATTCTTATAACTTTAGAATATCCATCTTTACTATTGGCAATTAGTAAGCGTTCTGTTGCAAAATTTTATATGTTAAATGTAAAGCCGAATTCAGAAATATTTCGGTAAAGTCACGATTAAACTTTTATTCTTCTAGACTGAGAAAGTGAATAGCACTTATTACTCTGTGTTACATATATAGGTATACTACAACAACCTGTATTTCACTAGTATGTTAAGGGAAAGATCATAATTTAAAAAATCGTTTGTGACTCCTTGCAAAAATTATCTAACACTTAGTTTTATTAGGCTTAATCAATGCTTTTATCCAGGATAACCTAACTTGGCCGTATTATTTAGCAGTGTAAGGATAATTGTACTCTAGTTCTCTTACATATAACTGAAGTGGTTCACATTAGTTGCGTTACTTTATATTAGGATTTTGCTGTGCAACCAAATATCACAGTAAAGACTCAACTAGTCATGTAACCTGTAGACATTATCTTAACTCCTCTGTCAATTCATAGTGCATCTTTACAGTTGATAGTGATAGTGCTTCTGCTAACTCCGTCGTAAAGAAAATACACTGTACTTATGGAGAACAGGTTAATTCTTTTTATATTAATATTTCTCCAAAAAATTTCAATACAACTAATTGGGTCAATGACTAGCTGTTGATTTTTTTAAATTTTTTATTCGTAATTTAAATGATAATGTCAGAGTTAACAGAACTAACAGACCTTCGCTATGCACATTACAGATTTTATATAATCCTAACCATAAAGTTTGACTTTTAGTTTGTGAGTTATTACAATATACCAGAACGAAAACTTCACTTGTTATAAACGCTAACCTAAATTCCTTTTTAAACTAGTAAGATAAAAGTATTGTCTTCAAGTTGATGACAGTGATTTTGAATAGTTCGAAACTTCCAACCACATTGTTCGCTACTTCAGACAATAGTTTTAGTTGAAATCCAAGTACAAAAATCCAAACTTGTAAATTACATTCAGTTGTTCAATGATCATTCTCAATTACTTCGTTTTGTTTTTCCGATGTACTATTTTCTCCACATGTTCAACTATCGCTATGTTATTCACTATTTTTATTTTTCATTGTTGTCATGTCTTAACTATGATCTTATTTTGTCATTTAGTTAGAATTCAACTTTAACTCAGTGTCTGATAGAGTGGTATATGGTCAATGTATCTAAACTTAGTTATGTCCTACTTCATACCTCTTATTCTGATCCGATGTTTTAATTATTATCCCTTGCCTGTTGTGTACTGTTAACAAGTAACTGGAATTAAATCTGAAGATTTCCTATTACTATGTAGTATATACACATGTATATTGTTCTATTTTTAAAATTTTCAATATATCGTTCTTAATAAACTTTTCACAATCATACAACAATTTTCAAGGGGATATTTTTTGTCGGTTTTATAAAACTTGATGCCTTACAATGCTTCAATATCTTTTAAAGAGAAATCATTTTGCACTGATTCTCATCAATAGAAGTAACTGGAAACTGAATGAGTTTTTGTTTATCAAAAAAATCTTTTGAGATAATTATAAGTATAGAAGTTAGTACTTTGTAAGTTGTTCCTAATGCTAAAAATGTTAAAGAGTTCATGTACCATAGTAATTATTATTTAATTAATTTAAATATTTTATTTATTTCTTTTGTTGTTGTCCATTTATTTAACTAATATTATTTTCATACTTCCTGTTTTTGAATATACACATTTTAATGTTCTATTTCCATGGTAATGTTGTCCTTCCTCCAGAATATCATAAGATGATATCGCCAAATACTAAACACGAATAGCAATATCTTATCTACTTCTATGTTTTGTTAGTCAATTGTTTAATTAAATCAAAGTTTTTTTTTCTAGTTCAATATGAAATGAAC